GGGGTTAAGTAATAATTTGTTATAATTATTAATACAAAGATTGAATACTAAGAAAAATTTATTTTATCTGGCTGGATTCGAACTAACAATCTGTGCCAGAAATATTAGTACGGTAGTAAAATATCGTGACTTTGAACAAACTTAACAATAAAGTAATACTTGTTAACGCTACAACTCAAAAACCTGCGGTGGAAGCCCTATTCAGATTGAAACTTCATGACAGCGACAACAAGCTTGAAGTATAGACAGCGTCTTGCACGGTGCGCTAGGAGACGTCAATCCGGCCGGATCGAAGGAATTTTCTGAAATGTATCTTTGTATTAATAATCATAACAAACTAGTAGAGTAAATGTCACAAAAAAAATTTAATATCATCGTGGTGAAACATTCTGACTGATCCTGAAGCACTTGTGTTATGGAAATCGGAAACAACGACGGCGCCACAGACATCCAGATCCGAGACAATATAGAAAAGTTAGTTTTTTCTGCATTGACCCGTCCGGGAATGGCGACACCATGAAAACTGGTGTGCAAGCCACACGACCACGGAGTTCGTCAAATACAATTGGAGCTCGTCGGGTATGTGAGCATAAGTAAATAGCAAGCACAGTTAAAAAAAACTGAATTACCTATATAAAGTACACTACATATACTTATATGAATTGTTTTCCTCGAGTTTTTTTGTGTTAATTTAAAAAATACATGTTTTCAATTATTTTTTGTGGTGGTGGACGTTGAAATTTTTTATCTTGCCTAAGTGGGCCAAAGACTTTGGGAACCTATGCTTTATAGCGTGCTTGAGGCAAAACCGTATGGGGTAACATCGGGTGGTATACCCGGTTTTGTACAACTTAAATCGTATATCTATCTATCGAGATCACAGGAATCAATTTTTACGACAAAAATATCAGTAAACATTTGTCAATATTTGTGGGTGCTCGGGTTATTTCCTCCGTCAGTCCATCACTGCTGGATTATGACTTCGTGCAAGTACACCTTCAAAGGTTTTTCTCCATTGTCAATGAACATTATTATAATTAATATATAAAATAATTATTTCAAAAATAATACAAAGCCATTTTAAACAATATTTAATTAACCCAGAAACGTTTCCAGAGTGAATTAATTTCAAACATGCTAATAACTTTTTCAATGATTCGCTTTAATTAAATACGTTCGGAAACTCATTGGTAGAAAATACAAATTGGTGTAGCATTACTCTGAGAAAGAAAAGTTATATTTAGGTCTATATCTGAGACCGAAGCCAACGAAGTAAAAAGTGGTCAGAGGTCGGTCCCCGTTGTTACACCCAAAATAAAATACCACTCAGTTGCTCGGCTCTCTTGTCGACTCAATTGTCTCGCAGTGAGCACTTGAATGTTCTAATTAATTTAATGATAAGGAGCGAAGAATAAGATAAGGATAAGTATAAGCTACAAGCTTATTTAATATAAAATATACAAATTATGTGAATATAGTACATAATACCTCTCAATTATTGTCATATCGTATTGGGCCCATAAATGTACTTTTTTCTTTTTTTTATAATACCAAGACGGGAGGAACAAGTCGTGCGCCTGTTGGTAAGCGACACGCCTGTCAATAACAGCTACAGTGCCACTCAGAGTTTTTAATTGCAAAGATCTTAGCGGCACAGCCACTTTGTCGTCACCCTGAAATATAATTTAAGGTAATACTCACATTACTGCTAGGCGGTAGATATAAGTAAGGTGGCACTACCCTGGACACACTTTCACAAGGAGCTCTACTGCTACAAAATGATTGTAACATCTATTGTACGCATGGAGTCCCTATCTACCGACCCGATAGATAGGGTTTTCCGACGAGACTACGGGCTCGACAGCAAGACCAGGGTACAGCGGGCGTCCGCCCTCCGCCAGTGATATGCAAAAGCATATCTGGCGTATCTGGCGGATCCGGCCTTGGATATGGACTCGCTGGGGTTTGTGGTTAGCTGCAGAGACGGACATGTTTGTTTGCCCCGGTTGGGTGTGGCCGGGGTGTCTGTCTCGTGAGTAGCTAGCGCGTCTTAGTAGTGGTCTAGTTGAGGGCCTAAAGCGAGGAGACGCGCGGGACAAGTGAATTGCCCTTTAAGTTGCTAGCTATGTCCGGACATTGTCGCAAGACACTGTGACTGGCATCTCCGGCACTAGCCCGGAGAGCTAGTAGAGGATATGCTAGATATTCTCCGATCCCTCCAGCCGTTTAGGTTATTGGGAACTGGAGAGACGTCGTTTTTTCGACGTCGGGAGGTGAGCGTGCCTTACAGCTCCGCCACCAATGAGAAGATTTGATAGTGGACTCAGAGTCGACGGCTTAGCGGTGGCAACCGCTATTTGTGCAATGCGCAACGGGAAGTGAGCGAGCCTACAGCTCCGGTACCTATCTGGAAAATAGGGAGGGTACTGTACGTGCGCCCGGGGCAGCTCACCCGAGGCACTAGCCTCTCGAAGAACCGGATGAAATGAAGTGACAGAGGTCTATGACAACCCTGTACATTGGCTGATCTGGGGTCAGAACCTGAACTTGTAAGGTTCCTTTGCGTGCACAGATTATAGTGCCCTTTTCGTATACCCTCAGGGTCAGTAGGGAGGGTCTCTATAACCTAACGTAGAAAGATATGGGGGCTGTACTGAATGGGAGCAATAAAATTGTTGAGTATTTCTGCGTTAATTTCAAGGATTCATTACCTGTTCCTATGTTCAATGTATTCAATTTGTAGAAATTATACACTTAAATATCGATACCTCCAATGAACACTACGCTAACTTAATTTCTGGACCAGTTCTGTTTTTATATTGTCTTTTGTTTCTTTTTTTTTTCACAAAATTCGGATGGCATAATAGTATGGTTGTTTACAAAAATAACAGAAAATGAGCAGAAAATAAAGTTGACATAGTGTTAAATGGAAGTATTGATATAATTATTAAGTGTTTTATTCTTTATTTATTCTGATTTGTATAACTTATACCAAAATATGAAATATTAGTATCTGCTCCCACTGTACTAGAAATCTCAGGCCACACACACAAACTTATTGAAATGAAAAACATTTAATTGAATTACAGATCAGTCTGGCCGAAACAAAATTGACGCTGTTCCTACAAGAGGTCTTCTCGTCACGACACCTGGAGCGAAATTCGTTAACAGGATTTAAGAACTGATTTTCAAAGTTTTAAAAGGTCCGGAACAAGACCCGAGGCACTTGGAAACTTTGTACCCTTTCCGGTGAACCTTTATGTGGGTAAATAATTACTTATATATTTCTCAAAGAACTTTTTACCTTTAATCTAAAACCGCTTAGTGAATTCTCCAAACGACGTTCCTTGTAGTATCAAACGACTATTCTTGTTATTAGGCTCTGAGCAACGGGAACGAGTAGCAAAGCGCCTGCTCGGTTGGAATAGCAATAAGTTTCTCGCTCAATTCAATTTGTTCAGGCGCTCGCACTGATTACAAGTGTCTTACAAAGTATTACGTAAATTTTAAATGAATTTCATTTAAATTGAAATGAATTTACGGCAATTCGATTTTATGCGCATGAGTGGAGATGGTAAATTGATTTGACGACATAAACCTTTAGTTGTGAATAGTGAGGGGGATGTAAGTGCACAAGTTTTAAAGAAGTTACGGGCTCGCTTTAAGAATAAAGTACAGTGCAATAAAATTTAGGATAGCCTCATTTTTTTAATAATATGTGTGTAAGAGCCAAAATACATCTTTAATATTTATCTTCAAACTTCGTAAATTTGACCATGTGCCCCAATTTCACGACAACTTAAATTACTGTCCTGTCAATAAACTTCATGTCCTTTATTTATTTATTTTTTGTTTGTTAGGGAAACACACAGTTTACAATTTGTATACAAGATTATAGTACGTAAGATTATAGTAGTAGTAGTAGTAGTAGTAAATCTTACGTCTTAAACCAGCAAAGTTTCCATTAATAAATATAATTTTAAATAAAACGAAAAACTGCTTGGCAATTTTTTTTTAAATGTTTTCATGTGTACAAAAAACTCTGTACAATAGTACAAAAAAGAAACAGAAAATAAAATAAAAAACAAGTAACATTAATTATTGTTCATAAATGGGATTTGCTATTGGACGGACCAATAAAATATATCTACATCTAAATTATTCTTATTGTATGTATTACAAGCTCTGAACAAGAAAGGATTACTTAAATATTTAATTTTACAAGCAGGCACACAAAATACACTTTTCAAACGAGAATTCTCCCATAACAGTTTAGCTCTTCTACACTTTTCTTCTTAAAATTCGGGGAAACTAATGTTAGTAAATATATACGCCTATTTACAAAAATAACAGAAAATTACCAAAAAATAAAGTTTGCGTTGTGTACATTGGAGGTGTCGATATATGGACAATACGCTGCTTCTGATTCTTTCGAATGACGTGTTATAGAACACTTCCGCAAATGAAAGGTTGCCCTCGTTTATTTCCTTAATACGTAGTGTTATTTTTTCCAATAAAAATATACAAATACACTTGTATAGAATTATTATATATATACATTAATGGTATTAATTAATTAGCGTATTTATTTAAATGTTACGCGTATTTATTTAATGTGTATTTTTACAATTTTGATGAATTCTTTGGTTGCGCCTCATTTGCATCTCTTTTGTTTCTACTAAAATTGCATAGTAAAAATTGCCTGTTAAACCGTAGCTTATTCTGATATATTCACAATGCAGCTCCGTTTCTTCTTTGCAGTGTAAGGACACGGTATATATATTATTAAGTATTATGTATAAATAAAAATAAATAAAAATAATCACATTATTTGCTATAAGATCCATTCAGTTTTTTGTAAATTTTCAAATTGCGTTTTCGCAATTTTTAGTCACGAGAATATTTGGTTTCATGTACGATTTTATTTCATAAACGCTGTTGTTCTTGAAACGAGTACCAGAATTCACTTGTGTATGTCGTGCATTTATAGGCCGTATGCAATGGCAAAGTTAGGACCGTGGATGTTGGTACTAATACACATAGTGCTTATCGCGTCGAGTGGGCAGGAGCATTTAGCCGTAGCTGATGCCAGTGTGGAAGTGGACTACACGAACATCGCGGGAGAGGCCGAAATGAACAAACAAGATATACTCACGTTCTTAAATCAGACGCACATACAAGCTCAGTATAAAGAACTGTATGATTCGCTGCTCAACAAACTTATAGGTAAACCTACGCGACGTTAAAGACGCGTTTACAGTAAGTCAATAGGATCGCCTTCGCATCGAAGGCGGCAAGGAAATCTAAATTAGATGGGAGGAAAATATGTACTTATTGGGTAGTTTGTTGAATATTTCGACCGATTTGTTATGACTCTGTGCGAAAACTTGTTCATTGTGCGTATTTATTGTGATGCGGTGCAAACAGTGCGTTGATTGCTCGGCCTTCGTCAACCAAATTCGCTTGCCGAAGAGGTGGCAGTCGACTCGGTGTAAATAGCGCGCTAATTGCCCGGTCTTCGTCAGCCGAATTCGCTTGCCGAAGAGGCGACAGTTGACTGGGTGTAATCAGCGAGTCAAGTAGTTGATCGAGTCTGTCTCTGGTCTCAAATTAAGAAATTTCTTATGTAAGAGCCTTATCACACTGGCGATTTGCGAGCGATTTGAAAGCGTCGCGGCAACGCGGCGTACTCGCCGCGAGCACGCAGCGTGCTCACCGCAAGCTTGCAGCGACAACGCTGTGGTCGCTTGGCTATTTGAAAGCGATTCAAACTCGCAGCGAGCACGCTCTCAAATCGCCAAGCGGCCACGGCGTGGTCGCTGCGTGCTCGCGGCGAGCACGGCGGGGACGCCGCGCTGTCGCGTCGCTTTCAACTGTGATGGCAACTACGTAAAACACGGTAACTGAACCAATTCAGAAAAAGTCGTATTCCAAATTGATTATATCAGGAATCGGTTCAGAGACATACTGATCTAGATCCTACAGTAATTGTTAGGCTAGCGAGATAACATAATATATATTTTTCTACCTAATATAAGAGTACGACTAAATATTAATAACCTGAACTTTCTGGATTTTATTTTGCAGATCCTTCCAAGCAGAATAGAAGGGGTAAGTCGATGAGTAAGTAAATATGACGTACGTCGTAAATTACAGTAAGTAAAATTAATGGCACATTAATCGTCGACTACCACGCAATGTCGAAAGTATCGCAGGCAATTCTACGAGTAAAAATAAGACAATATTGATTTTGTGTACCCACGAACTAGTCTTCTTCTGATAACAACATTGATCACAAAAGTCAACAGTAGCGCATTTAACCTCCTACGGCTCCGTATACATCAAAATGTACTTAATATGTGAAGTTGATTCAGACCCTGACAAAATTATTTCTTTAATCACGTAAACGCCTAGTGTACATAGTAATGAAAGTAATGCTTATATAGAATACATAGGGCGGCACTGTAAGTTTCCGGAACTGGCCACTTATATCAAACAATATTTAAAAAGTAATTACAACATTTGAAAATGGAACTCTTTGGCTGTGGAATATAATTTGTTTCATCTGACTGTCACTTGTTTTTACATTGTGGCGTCATTTTAGAAATTGGTTGTCTACATTACCATGGATTTAACTTGTGAAAATTTTCGTAGTATGATTTTTTACGACATTAAGTGTAACTTAACAGCTCAGCGGAGCTTCGCTCGGCTTCAAACTGCTTTTGGCGATGATGCACCATGCAAAATGACTATTTATAGCTGGTTTGCAGAATTCAAATGCAGTCGTGTGAATCTCAGTGACGAATTTCGTGATGATCGCCCGTCTACTGTTGTGAACAACAAAAACATTGATGCTGTGCGCCGTATGATCAAAACAGACATACCATGTGATTCGGGCATCTTTAGGCACAGGCATGAATCAAATAAACATTTGGGTGTGAAAAAGATGTGCTCTCGGTGGATCCCACACAATTTGACTGAGGCTCAAAAAACGGATCGCGTCACTTGGTGCAATGCCATGCTTACCAGATTCAACGAAGGGGTGTAAATTTTGGTGTGGGACATAGTAACAGGTGACGAAACATGGATTTATAGTTACGATCCCAAAACAAAACAGCAATCGAGCGTATGGGTCTTTCGAGATGAGCCGAAACCAACCAAAGTGGCGCGCGTGCACAGTGCCACTAAGTCGATGAGTGCTTCTTTTTTTAATAAAACTGGACACGTGGCTACTGTTGCTTTGGAGAATCGTTGTGCCGTAAATAGTGATTGGTACACAACCATTTACTTGCCGGAAGCTATTGACAAACTCCGTAAAAATAACCGTAAACGCCGTATCATCTTGCACCACGATAATGCCAGTTCTCACACGATCAAAATATTCTGAGAAACATTAAATTCATTTCTGACCATTTATAGTATTTTTTTGTTCATTCCGGAAACTTATAGTGGGCCCCACGTAGGTATAATAATAATATTCTATATGACTATGGGGTATCTAGAAAAATACGTGTAGGTACTTTAGTAGCAGTAGAGCTCCTTGTGAAAAGTTAGTCCAGGGTAGTACTGCCACCTATTTCTGCCACCAAGCAGTAATGTGAGCATTACTGTGTTTCGGTTTTGAAGGATCAGGGCGCTGGTGGAATTATAGACACATGGGACTTTTCAACTTATGTCTCAGGGTGATGATGGGCGCAGTGCGGGTGTCCCTCAAATGTTCATGATTTAAAGCTCTGAGCGACAATGCAACTGTTATGGACAGGCGTATCGCTTCCACTTATTCTTGACTTGACTTGTTTGTCGTGGCACTTGGCATCATATTTTTTTGTTTCATAAAAAACTGAGGGCATATAGGTATATTCGCTTAGGCCTGAAGCATGTAATTACACGAGTTTGTATTCAGTCATTTTAACGTACATTGGGTATTTAACGGTTCTCCGATTGTAGTCTTGTGAGGCAATGCAGAAAGGACATTTAACACTCTCGTTTCTATGATGCAGGGTCGACTAGACGTATAGTATCCGGTCGCAACACGTCAATAGCAGCTGTGCCGTGGCAGGTGTCCTTGCGTGAAAGGACCTACCCTATCTGCGGGGGCTCTGTTGTCACCGACCTGTGGCTACTCAGCGCTGCGCACTGTCTACTTAGGTACTGTACCGTATAGTTGAAAGCCACAAAGATCTACAAAGACCGTACCGTAACAAGTATCCTAACTTAAATTATATTACAATATTTCAGTATTTTTTCATGCTGGTTCAGCCATTCACCAGCAGGTGGCGTTTTAGTAATAATGCTACTACTATATAATAGCCAACACGTTAGATGGCGCTGAAATTCAATTTTCGTTACGCTAAGAACTCACTGAGTGGTTTTCACCCGCGTCTGCCGCGGGACCGCAGCATCTGTAGAATGTAATAGTTAAGTATGTAAAATTAATAGCACATTTCACGGCGCGTTTTACGCCTCTAGTGGTGACAGTTGCTCGCGGTTGCCGCGGCGGGGTACTAGTATAACCGCGCAGGATGCGATCACCTGCGCGCTTGGCGGCCGTCGTCGCCCGCCCACTTTGGCGGTCGGTTCAGGCGCAATGTGGTGCAGCCGCACGCGGGATGAGTTCTCTATTAACCGCGCAACTTGCGATTAACTGCCACTAACTTCGCGGTCCGTTCCGCAATCTCAACGGTGTCGTGCCCGCATCCGCGGCGGCTACGTGCCCGCACAAATTTGCTGGGTTGTGAGTATTGAAATAAAACCGATGTCTAGCAGCACCGGTGGGCGCGAATGGAAACCGCTCCGTGAATTGTTAACCTTATTAATCTTAAACTGACGCTACTCAACGAGGGATATGGTCCTACCTAATCGACAGTTAGAAACCATGGTTCGTTTTTAATATTAAAAAAATATTCCATGTTTCATACTATACCTACACTGGTACAGGTATATTATTAAATTAATATATTAATATAAATTATTATTATTGTCTTAATGGCAGCCACTAGACTAGGGCCAGTGTCAGTTTTATAAGAATAATATAAAAAATACGGCGATCGTCGCCAGTGTCAGTTTTCCATTATACGCTTAGAGGATGGAAAATAAAATGAAAGAAAGGAGCTGCCCTAACTACGGAATGAACGTGCATACCTAAACAAAAATTGAACGAACAAATGGCGGATTTATTTAGTGTCGTACCATAATCTATCGATAAGTCATTATCGAGATGCAAACATTTAGTTAAAGTAGATCAATATTCCATTTGGGCATATTTTAGGTTATCTAAGAGAATATCCGGGAATGTCACATGAAATTTTGAATTTATTGTTTTGCGTTTACAAATAGGTACTCAAATATTACGACAAGTGAATTTGCACAGAAAAAAAATAATATTTGTAATTTGAGAGTAAACAAAAAAGAGAAAACTTTAAAATATAAATCGTATACATTTACAACCTGAAGATTCTTATTTTCATAGAGAAATTTTTAAACAGATTCCAAATAGTGTAAGCTTTTTGTATTTATGCGTTGGTAGAGAATTAATATCAGTGACTGATTTAAGTGAGTCTTTAATACTTCCATTTAATTTTGGAAATAAATAAAAGTAGTAATGAAAGTGGCGTCACCGGTACCCGATCTTACATAGCGTCATTGCATATCTCCCCTTTTTACCTATATCTACGGTATTGGCCTTCACCCGGCAACGTTAGACCAACATGGTCTTTTGTATTGCTGGCGTTATATAATAAGAATTTTTAGTTGTTAGAGTTGTCAGTGGGGAAAAAATCGGAAACGAGTGGACAATTTTATTTTCAGGGACTGAGAATGCCTAGTAAATGAGTCGTGTTTAATCTAAATGTAATATATGGTTTATTTACCAATAAACCTAATGATGGAATTGCATTATCATGTAATCTAGTTACATTCAAAGTTATTTAAAAATTTTACTCTTCAAAATGAAGCGAGTAAATGAAGATGGTCTTTGATTTAATGTATGATTTCCAACCATTCCATTTTCTTTTTTGATTTGTAGGTAAATTTGAAATAGTAAAAATAATAATAATGAAATAACAAAAACCTCACAGTGAATTATTTTAATAACAGAATATCGATAATATGTACGCTTCCAAGAACAACACTATCTCAAAATAATCGTTAACAACAATCATTAAAATATACAAACAAACAGCCAATCTGAAGAAACCAAAGCAAAGTTTGGCAAGATTTATGAATATGTATAACTACATGAGATATTTGGGCTTTTTTGTGATTTATAGACAGAAAAAAAACACGTGCCTGTACAATGTTACATTCGGTCGATTTTCGCTTTTCCAAATGCCACATCCCGTAATACTGCAGCGACGAATTTTTATTAATACTTAATTGTCCTCACTGTCAATATTTTTATCCATTTTATTACAATTCATGCAAATAATTCAATAAAACACTTGGAAAAACATTTGTTTTGTAACTTTATGTACTTTCCTTTGACAACCGTATCATGTATCTCATGTAATAGACGCAGTTGGCATTTAAGATGACGTTACGTATTTGCGATTCCCGTGTTTGACACAGACTAATGTAATGCTATCTCTTTTGGCTTAAGACGGCACTCAATAGTTAAACAAAGACAATAACATGTTTATGTTTTCGACGTCGAAAATTATATATACATATAACGTCTGATTTATATATGTCAACATAACATGTCATTTAGTTTCCATAGTCTAAGATTATACGTTACTACTTTATATACGGGTTGGTGAAGCTGTCACTGTCAAGAGTAAACTCGAACCATCAAGGAATTTAGTAAATTAAATTATGTTGTTTTTTGGAAGGATTTATGTGATTTTCTATAATTGTTTCTAATTTATTTTGCGTGCACATGTAAAATAAAGCCGATTTTATTTTATTTATTTTTAAATGCATTTACTACGGAAATTTGAACAAAGCAAGAAATAGTAATAAGAAGACCAATCTTTCGATTTTCCTACAGCTTCAATTCAACCCACTTTTATTTTGAACTCATTGGAAATACTTAAAAATTTAAAATACTCTACGCTTAATCTACGAGTATAATAGAATTAAAATATCTAAATTATCTAAAACAATAATACACGTACATTTTTCTTCAAGCAACAGCAACATACAAATTAACATGAAATTGAAACGGTTGTCCGAAATTTGAGTTGTGTTAAAGTTACTAGTAATAAAAAGTTTAGTAATAATAATAATAATAATAAAATAAAAGAAATCAATTTAACGTGAATGAATGAACGCTTCGATATTTTAGGGACTTTAATTACAAAGATCATAGTAAGAAATTCAAATTTTCCGTAAAAATTTATTGTCGATAAACATCTGTCATTGTAAATGAACATCACTATATTTGAGTCTAGAAATTTCTATGGAGACAAAAAGAAAACATTGACTAATAATAGAAATAGTAACTAAAAATGCAAATAGCCGGTGGAATGTTATCTCACTGGTTTTAAAATTTTTGTTTTCACTCCAATTTTTACAAGGTATATAGCTACAACTTGGCATTTTCACGTTTTACGAGAGATATTGTATGTACAATGATCGCCATGTCACTGTGGCGATGTTTGTATGCGTGTCACCTCGACATGATCATTTTGATCATAACGAGGCGACACGAACCACGCCCCCATACTAAATTTCCCCTTTTTTTTCTATACCTATGGTATCAACCTCTAAGGGTTGTATTCTAGAACTCTACTCAATGCTCAAGTCAGGATTTGAGTATGGTTTAAAGCACTCGAAATCATACTCAACTCCCTGCCATTACGGTCGTATTTCCAGTGCTTGACATCATACTCAGATCCTGACTTGAGCACTGAGAAGATTTCTGAAATACGACCCTAAGCGTCGATAATAAAAATACAGTATCAATAGTAGGGATGAGTATCGATTAATCGGAATAATCGATGTTTTTATTGAACAATCGATGTTTTTTTTTAATCGACGTCATATGGTTCGATTAATCGGATAATCAATGATTTCATACCGTCTTTACCAAAAAAAAAAAAAAAAGTATATTTTAAAAAATAGTATAGAAAAAAATACAACGGCTTTAGAATCCAATTGTTCATTTTATTATTATTTAGTCAATTTTAGAAAAATGAGATTTGCGCGCAATACCGTGGCACTAGGAAGATGGTTTACATAAGCTAATTATATAATTTGTCTCCACCGCCTTTGAAAAATTTATAATTAATACTGGTGTCTATACCACTATTTTGTTATAATTTGTGTAATTTGAAATAAGGCGGGAAATGAGGGTTATGTTACGCGGTTCCTATGCATGCCGCCTGAGCCGCTACCTGTGTTTCGAGGTTCTTCTAGAAACCCTGATACATTCATTAGCTTAGACTTAATGGAGTATTATCTAGCTCTCTTTATACTCACTTAGGTTTTTGTTAATCAGGAATTTTAGAAGTCAGGTAAACAAAGATCTCTTACGGTTTACAAATCCTGCGATTTGTAAACCGTAAGAGATGAAAGTGACGTTACACAGATAAAAATTATTATTATGAACTAAAAAAAAAATTCACCAACAAGAATTGAAGTAATGCAACCAATTAAAATATTTATATTTTGTCGATCAATCGATTAATTGATTTTTCAAGCCACGATTAACAACAGCGTGTTGTTAATCTGTGACCTGTCAGTAATTAAGGAACTTGATTGGCATGCTTATGTCAAATGTTTGTTTTCAAATATTTTATATGTAATCGATAAATTTAATCAATGTGAGCATTGTGGAAAAATGTGTTAAAATAGAAAACTACTAATTAATGTAGAAAATAGACGTATGGAATGTAATTCCATTCTTGGCTAGACTGGATGTAGCAAAGATTTTTATGCAAGTTTGTATGTCGCAAGGCGACATACTTCACGGAGCACTTGACTGTGTGAATTCGATAATGCAAATGAAAAAATATCGATTTGAAAGTAATGTTTATTGAGCGATAGTTGTTTAGTGCTAGTACCTTGACAGAGGGGACTGCCTATCAATGACACCTTCAGTTTTAGTGCTCTAAGGTATACAGAACTTTATTGAAATTTTTCAGCGCAGTGGCGAGTACCATAGACAATAGAATTTCAATTCAGATCCAAAAAGAGCGCCTATAAGA